CAACCAATAACAAATGCTGCCAGGGGTGTGGAGAGAAATGAACCCTTCTCCATTGTTGGTGGGAGTGCAGACTGGTGCAACCATTGTGGAAATCAGTATGGAGATACCTCAAAGAACTAGGACTGTAAGTTCCATTTGACCCAGCTATTGCCCTGCTGGGTATCTTCTCAAAAGAATTAAAAGAATCATACCACAGTGATATATGTGCACCCACGTTTATAGCAGCTCAGTTTGTAATAGCTAAGGTTTGGAAACAGCCCAAGTGCCCATCCACTGGAAGCTGGATAAAGAAGATGTGGTTTTTATAAAATGGAATACTAGTCAGCCATAAAGAATGAGAAACTAGAAACATTTATAGCTAAATGGATGCATACTGAGGCGATACTCTTAAGTAAAATAAATAGGACACACACGTGTAAATACCGAATAGTTCTCTGGCGTGAGAAACTGAAAGTGTAAATAAGGATTAAAATGAATAATTGATAATTTGAAATAGGAAAAGGTCCAAAGGTGTAGGGCTGGTGGGATGGGAAGGGGAAAGGAAAAATTATGAGAAAAGAAAAAAAATTGGAAATGAAATCTATGTAAATAGGGAAGGGTGGAAGGGGTGAAGGATGAACAGGTAATGGGGAAAAAAATAACAACCAAGAATCATCATGCACAGGTACAAGCCCCCAATGATAAATGTAAACGTATTGCATACCTAAAATGTACCAATAAAAGAATTTAAGGAAAAAAAATAAAAATAAAGTTTGTGTGTTGCGGGGGGTGTTGGTGTCACCAGATCTGATGGAAAAAATTTTCCTTTTAGATGCAGAGTCCAATGGGATGTTCTGAGAGCTGCACAATGTTCAGTTCAGCTGCAATAAGCAAACTCTGGAGTGTTGTTATTGTTATACAGGGGAGTTTGAGTTGTTCTGTAGTAAGGAAATAACACATGGTACTTTAAACAAGATGGGTAGGCAATTCCTGTGATTCCATACACTTTTAAAAATATTTAAAAGACAGTGGAGAATGGTTTGGAGGAGGGTTATACTAGAGCTAGCTAAAAGACAGCTTAGTACAGTTAAAAATGATGATTAAATGAATTCAATCAGTGGAGGGGAGGAAGGGCTGGGATGAAGATATAGTTCAGATATAGAAGGAAATGTTACTGATTGATTTGTCCGTGAAAGATCTAGGAGGAGAAAGAGCCCAGAGAACTTGAGTTTATAGCCTAAGTGGCTTTCAAGTAAAAGTTTGTAAAGGAAAAATACTTCTATATGTGTTCATGTGCCTTTCATTTGAATTTGTATGGTTTGTATTGTGATCTGGTGCTGAGGACAAGGGCCTCAGTTTGGGAAATGCAAAGACGTCTAATAACAGCTAGCATCGCGTAATAGAACTCTGCAGTTGTGAATTAGAAGAATAGCATGTGAGTCTTCAGCTCCTAAGGTGCGGGAAGTGTATGGGATCAGCTAAAAATAACACTGAGTAAAGATTAATCCTTAAGAAACAATGAACAGGGCCAGGGATTTAGCTTAGTGGTTCCGTCGCCTGCCTCTCAAGCTAAGGACCCGAGTTTGATCCCTGGTACCAAAAAAAAAGAAAAGAAAAGAAAAGAAAAGAAACAATGAACAAAAGTGTGTAGAACAGGAGGCAACAGAAAAGAAAACTGAAAGGCAGTTTGAGCAGTCTGAAGGAATACCAAGAAATGGAGTCAAGAGTTCCAAGAGTTAAGGAACTTTCAAAACAGTATAAATGGTAACAACAACAAAAATCCAAATGGGTAAGATTTCAAATATATAAGGACTAAAAGCTTCAGTTCCAAGTGTCAGTACTGGGGAAAACTTAATGCCTGAACATGGTGCTGGTCCAAATTCACCTTCCACTCTTCAGATTGGAGATAAAACTCCAATTTTTTCCCCTTTAGGTTTTTAATAAATAAGGATGAGTAACTGGAAAATGATGCGCTTAGAGAATTTTAAAATGTGTATTAGTGAACGTCTGACTAAAGCAACATGTAAGAAGGTATCATTCTCTAACTCCAATTCTCGTCTTCCCGTTAATCATATTTGCCTTGGTGTCTCTGATGAGTCAAGCATGTTTCTGTTCATTTCCCTGTCTTTCTGCTAATGGTAACTCCAATCCTTCTAGAATAAAAATTTCAGAGCTTTTGTTTCTTTCTCTTTTGCCATCAAATGTGATAGCCAGTTAGTTATTAAAAGTTATCCAAGTTCAAGGTATTATTTTTAAAAGTTTTGGCTGACCATACAAGCAAGGTTGGACTCTTCCTAACACCCTGAAATTTGGGTGCTTACTGTGGATAAATAGATAAAACTTTTTAATGTTAATTAATTTTTATCGCTATAATATAAAGCAAAGGAGAAGAAAGACTGGGCCTGTTTTATTTCCTATGTTCTCCGTCGTTCGTGGAGTGCTCAGAACACAAAATTTTTAGATGTTATTTGCTTAGTGCAGGAATGAACCAAATGAACAAAGGAAAGGAACTAGACTTCTACCCTAATCTGCTGCCCATGATAACTCTTTAAGGAAAGGCAGGCTTTGAGCGTCTTCAGGAAAAGACCTTGTGTTACTGCCTTTTAGGTCTATTCTATAGCACTGTGCCTGGCACACTCACTGGGAGCTTGTTGCAGAAATAAATAAATGAGTGGCAGACTGACAAAAATCAGAAGAAATTATTATAACACTTTCAACACCCCACAGGTTTTCATTGCAGGTCACTGACCAAATAGAAAAAATGGAATTAAACTCATTCTACCCTCTATACTGATCTTCACTGAGGCCTTCATCATGATTTAATTTTTAATGAGACTAAAAGACAGGCAACAGAATGAAAGCCATGGGAGAAATCCAGCAGAAAGCACTGTTAAAAGAAAGCAAGAAAGCAAACAGCAAACAATTATTGTCAGTTGCAAGACAGCCAAAGCAAAACAAACAAATAAACAAAAAGTGAAATAGTACATGAGAGAAAATGTTTCAACTAAAAATATTCAGAACTCATGGAATTTTTAAAAGGCCAGATCACATAGTTTAACAGTTTTATGTTTCAGAAGATGTATTTGAAACTAAGCAATGTGCTACAAATTTCCATAAGCTAATTTCAATTAAGAATGGAGGTATAATCACCTGAGTTACTACCCTGCTTTCTGACCATGAAGATTATGCTGACCACCAGAAGGAAAGCAGACAGCATTATCACAGAATTTGACCTGGGAACACACTAGAAATTATTGAAAGCTAGATTCTATGGTGATTTGTACAGGCAATACTCCTGTCCTGGAGAAACACAGATAATTCCCCAAGCTTAATTTTATCTGTTTTTTCTCTTCACTTTTAATTTTTTGTGCTGTCTCATTTTGGGCAGGAGCCTAGGAGAAGGAATAACTTAATGTCAGCAGATAGGAGAATCACTTATAGGAGAAAATAATTACAATGGTAAAACATGTTTGGCTTAAATTTTGGTTTAAAAATGTTATGTAAAAGGAAAACGTATCTGAATAGTTTTCTTTGGTACTGATTCAAAGCTCAAAGGTCTCTTGGCAATTAAAATAGAAAAAAATGTGGTCTACTTACCCATTCTGTATGGCAGCTGTGGGGTCATAGGTCAGAGCCATGCCAGCCTGTACATGGGGAAAGAGGGGAGAAAAGATCTCAACACTTTCACTGTGATACCAAAACTTGTAGTTCAAAGAGTTTTATCTTTACTTTCCATGATTTAAGTTTATTTTCTCCTATATATATCTCCACCTTACGTAAAAACTAGTGCTTCTACTATCCCAAAACCAAAATCCACCAGCGAGTTGGAAGCTTATGTAATAGATCCTGACAAACCAAGGAACTATGTAGTTTAGATGATTTCCATTTCTACTTCACAAACCATCCACTGTCTAATTTGGTGTCCTTATAATTTCTCACTATTGTCAAGAACAGCTATTGTGCATCTCATGAATGATAAAATGTAAAAGTGAATCTTGGAGGATAAAAATAAAGCTACTTAAAATGTATTAGGGCTTATAGAAGAAACAGGTAGGAAATATTTATTTTTAAATTAGACCCTATGCCTCAGGGGTGTAGGTAATAAGTCACCAAGTGCTTCTTTGATAGATTGCTAATATTTGTTCTACTAAGTGACAGAAAGGAGAGGTCATTTACAGCAATGGCAAAGGAACTTCTAGGCCACATGGCTAATAAGGTCATAATTTTGTTCTGTTTCTAAGAACAAGAACACCTCTGAAAAACTACACTTTTGTAACTGGCAGAAGTTTCAGAAAAGACGATAACTTCATAATTGTTGATTCACAGCCTGCCCGTGTTTCAGCACATTTGAACCTTACAACAACTCATGCAGTGGGCAGCAGAAAGGTTTTCTCCCTTTTACACTAAATCTTGGAAAGTTCAAGTGACTTGCTCAAGGTCATATATTTGGAGGTCAAGTCAAATTTTAATCCATGTCTTTGGATGTGGGTTCCTCTCTAATCCTCTGCTGTGACATTGACTTAGGGTTGGATGAGACCCGAATACCATCTCCACCAATGCGGGATGAACTTCTCGGTGACTCTATTTGCACTACCCCCCCCCTTTAACCCAGTCTGTTAGCATTGCTATTACTTGTGAATAGGAACAAAGTATAGAATGGAATTTAAATCTGTGCCAGTTATTCATAAGGTAGAATAATTTTTGTAGTTTAAAATTTAAACACAAATTATAACAACATCAAATTTTACCTTTGATAGTATACTATATTTAATATGTAACTACTAGAAAAGGAGAAATGGAGTCAGAGTCATGTAGGACCTCTGCAATTTTTTTCCTACTTCCTGTGAATCTGTAATTACTTCAAATAAAAAGACAGGGGGTGGGAATTGAATAAGCATAGAGGATTTTGTAGACTACAGGAAAAGCCATAAAAATTTTAAAAGATAAAACAAAAAGAGCTTTCATGTTTGAGTGGTTTTTTTTCTTTTTTCACGGTGGTTGAAGTAGTTTTCCGATTAGGCTTTTTGAATTCTTTGGATTTAGTGCATAACTAAAATGAAAATTCTTATGTGACCTTTCACAGTAGTATGGCCTACTACATTTAAAGTTATTTTCTCTAAATAACAATGACCTTAATAATTATGTTATTATTAAAATTGATATAAGGAACAAAGGTGTAGAGCCATGTATGAGTGGAATTAGCATAAAGGGAGAATACATAAATGGCAGTGCTGTTTGCAAACAGACTGGAAATGACCATCAAAAAATCAGCAGAAGTGTCTAGAAGACACATGTTTAATGACAACTGCATGACCCCTTTAACTTTAAGGGTCTCAGCCATCTTGAAGAAATATGCATCTAATGATATATGACAGATTAGGGAACTGGGAAATGAGGGGTTGATAAAACAGTGGAGATAAAAGTTTTTGTGTCTGGGGAAAAGCAAAACAGTTACTGATGGATTGCAAATTGAAAGCCAGCCTGGAAAACTGAGGGGAACCTGTCTTAAAAAAAAAACCCAAAAATATTTAAAAGTGTTGTAGATGTAGCTTAGTGGTAGAGCACTTACCTAGCATGCATGAGGCCCTGGGATCTAACCTCAGTACCACAAAAACAAACAAAATGCCAAAAAACAACAACAATACCAACAACAAAAGCTTCACAAAGACCTTAAGTGTCAATTCTTCCCAGGGATGAGGCCTCTGCTACGGGACTGGTGGGAGAGAGCCTGGCCCTCTCCTGTACTCCCCAGAATGCAATCGCTCAGGGCTGAGCTGAAACTCTACAGTCCTGGATACTGGAGAGAGCAGTAATAAAAGCTATTCTTTTGTGATAAGATTTTCCTCCCAGGAACACTTTATTTCTCTCTGATAATGGATCTAAGGTGCTACACTGTGAACAGAATGAAAAAAAAAGTGGGCTTTACATTCAACACAGATAGGGCTAGTTCACGAGACATTTAGCATGGTACTCCTATCTTCAGCCTCCTGACTATCTCAAATTGTTTAGGACTTATAGGAAGCCATATCTTGTCACCATCACATTCACTTCTTTTACCTATATATATATCTGCTTCCATCAGTGCTCAGAGACGGACCAAAGCTCTCCAAACCCTCTTAGATTACAAACTGTTTTAAATGTCTCATCCCAGGCTTATTTGTTCTACAAATGAATTGAGGATTTTTTCTCACATTTTATTTTAATTCCTCATAGATTCTAGTTAGCCAATTAGACCTAGCTAAAAATATAGTAATTATCAATCAACTCTATCTCTTTGGTAAATATGTGTTTTACTCCAAAGCCCTAAGTGGGCTTCTTCCTCCATCTGAAGCCTTCGTCTTATCTTTCAGAGATGAAGCAGAGCTGAGTAGATAGAGGTGTGTGATAGTGGGAAGAATGTGTGATTTGGAGACAGACAGGTTGTGTTGATTCCTAACTCTGTTTCTTTCTTGAAGTTGACCTTGGGCAAATTATTTAACCTATTTGAGCCTCAGTTTCCTCAACTGTTAAATGGTATAATACCTACTTCATTGGATTGTTGTGAAATTTAAATGAGATTACATTTGTAAAGCACCTAGCAAAGTGCCTGCAGATAAGGCACATACATAAATATTATAATACAATGCAATATGTGTTAAGTGCCATGTAAGTGTTATGGATGATGTACAGAGGAGACGGGCTAGAGATGGTCAGCTAAAGTCCATAGAGGGCATTTGGTCAAAACAAACTTAAAGATGAAATGAGACATGAAGGCCAGCTCAAACAAAAGAAATAGAATGGCAGTGTGTAAACAACAATGGCAAAGAGGATGCTCTGTTTGCAGTAGAACATGTGGAGGGGAGAGTGGGAAATAAGACTCAAAAGGTATGACAGGGAAATTTGGACTGCTCAGCACCTCTTGGAGAGCTATTGAATATTTTTGGGCAGGGAAATGATAAAATTATAGAGGGATTGGGTACCAGGAGACAGCATGAGCCCTCTGGAAAGCAAAGTACAAATCCAGAACAATGAGCAACTGGACAGGAAATCTGTGGACAGGGAGGTGGCGAGATCTAACATGAGATTCTCATTGCAAAAGAGTAGAGAATGAATACAAGTTTCGCCTATTTCACAATTTTGGTTCGGGACAGTCCTGCCTCTGAGTACCTTTGGTAAGAGGAGACAACAAGAGAGGGTGTCAGGTCATATGCATTTGGAACATATGGGAATCACAACAAAGCAGGGGTTAAACAAAGGGCTCTTTTTGCTTTGAAACCTAACTGTTGGCTGAATATCATAGCACAGTAACTACACTTGGCTACCCCTGATTTTCACATCAAGTGTAACAGATTGCTGAGTTAGAATTCTAATATGGTATTAATGCAGATTTTGCATTCAATTTCCTTTTGTCTTTTCCCACAAAGATGAAAAAGAAATTGATTTTGCTGCTGGGTCTAGCCACCTTTATATTAAGCTAGAACCATGAAATCATCATTGTGTAATCACCAAATATTATGCGATGTTTACAAACTCCAGAGTCACACAAAAAATAAAATAGCTCAGGACAAAATGAAAATGTTATATCATATATGTAAAAAGTGATGTTTAATTCTGTCAATTATGTTCAGGGAGGGTTTATTATGGTCACAAATATTTTGCATTTTTTCAAATTCTTATCGTTTGTATTTTGGAAGCATGTATGATTTATTTAAAATAAAAACGAGGCATTTTGTCATTTTTCAACAACAGCTAAGCGTAGTCCTTTAGCCAGAATAGGGTATTTCTAGGTCTTCTAGATAGAATCAATATTAGAAAAGCTGAAAACATCTGAAAAAAATTAATGGTTTACTGGAGTAATTAAGATATCCTTATTTTTAATAAGTGTGGAGGATTCATCAAAACAGTTTGACTTTGGAACTAGATACTAAATGATGTAATTGTATATGAGTATGTTAGGTTACGTCAAGAATTAATAAGTATAGACAAACTGCTTATCGAGCACACTTTAGCAAGTAAGCATTGGTACCTCATAGACATTCCCTGTATTGACACACTTGATCTCATCTGGACAGCAGAGAATCATTGATATTACAAAGCTGAGGAAAAGAGAGGCTGACAGAATTGTTTTTTCACTTTTTAAATTAGTTTTACACTGAATGTTGAGATCAAAACATTTGAGAGAGTAAAGTTTACACAAACACATATGTAGCGAAATTCTTGGAAAATTGAAACCATGATGTTTGAGCCTAATATTTCTCTTTTTCCTAAGGTCTGTCTTGACACATGATGCATTATAACTAGATGACTTACAAATGAATGATTGCAAGGCTTTTCAGACTCTTATGACCAGATTTAAAGTGTAGTAGATATGTACTTTAGTAAATATTGCATTCTAGATTAGAGCTGAGTTCAGAGAAAGCCAAAAAAGTCAAAAATATTATTGTGTTCCTGATGTTATATTTAAAGAATTTAGGTCTTGCAAACAATTTTAATAATTATACCTATTAAGCTATAATTTAATAATGTACAACAATTAGTTGGTTATGATTACATATGCAATAAACAAAATGAGTTAAAGATAGTGTGCATAAAATACATCTGAAAATACAATGTGGTGTAAATATTTATGTATTATTATGGGTTATATCTCATTGTCCCCCAAGAG